TTTGGAAGGGGACAGGAAGTTGGTAAACTTTGGAGAGGATGAGTAGAGGCGAGAAGACCGTACCAACACCGATTTCACACACCACAATGCTGTTTTCTGCCATGGAGTCGTACGAAAAGAGAAGAAGAGATGTTTCCTCGCAACTCGCGCATATCTGGCTCTCTCAGTTCGGAGCCATTAGTGAAATTCCAAAATATGTTGGCAAAACACGCACGTCCAGATCGCTGAGGAAGATTTTTTGCAGAACACGACCTCACCCACACCCCCCGCCTCCCTGAAGTCTCCTCCTCTGATACCCCTAACCATCTCCCATCCTTCCCACGATCTTCTTAGACTTTGCCAGCTTGATACTACTTTTTTCCTAGTTTCCCTGTGAATTTCCAGTTTCCCCCGGAAGCGAATTCAAGTTGAGGAAGGGAGGGGAAGGAAGAGCTAGATAACAGAAACGACACTCAAAGAAGCGCAAAACAGGAACAATTAGTTATCGAAAATTTTTCTCAGAACAAGTACTACCCCTTCCCTCCTTTCAGCGACCAGATACGACCCCACTCCGCTGGGGAATCAGCATACCCCGTTTCTATCTCAAAACTGTCTCAAAACGTATAGAACTACATTTCGGCAACAAGCTAACCCAGGCACATACGTCACTGTGCGACGGGGATGTATCAGCGGACCAGAGTGAGTTTTGTACGACTACTTCGAGAAGGCAGTCCTATTTGAACTGAGGAAGAAAAACTGTTGTCCTTACTTCAGTTTGCTAACCCTCCTCTCAACGGTCTCCCTTATGAAACTGACAACAGCTGGAATGACTGAGCACTTGTCTATATTGGGCAGGATCCTTCCTCATCATGATCGTTTCAAAACACATAAAATGAAGAGTGGAGACTCCCTAATAGAGCTTAACAAGGCTATGGCAATAACTTATGACAATAATCATGCAGATGTTGAAGCTTCTCTGTACTCGGAAGTGTCCAAATTGAAAAGATCTTCCAGTCTCCACTGTAATGTCTCGAACGTCGGCCGCCTTTCCTGGTTCAGCATACCAGCACTGACACATCAGTTCATAAAGTTCCAATGGACAACCTTGCGGACATGGCATACGGTAGCCGGCATCGATCTGTTGCAGGACTTCTGTGTTGGTCATACCTGAAAGCTAAGGGTCAAAGAAAGATATCGGCAACATTCGGTTAAGGGGGACATTATCCTAGTTCGCTAAATTCTCATATTATTTCCTTTTAACCCATACGTCTCTGCTTGGTGAGACCTGTCTATTGCTGTCAAGTGTAAGTGTGCAAAGCTCGTGCTATTGCATAGTACGTGCCATGCCCACTGCACCTTCGGATACAGAGCTTTACAAGAGTGAACAGATGTCTGCAATGATCGACAGAGACTTTCAAAATGCCCCCATAAAACTGATATTTCTGTCGTTCCCTTTATGCTCATCTCCTTGTATACGTCTACTTTTTGCCTTTTATCTTCTCTTCCTTGCAGAAGCAGGTTTCTGCAAAGATAATCAGTGGTCAACCCTTCAAAAAGGACTGGTCATTGATGAAAGTGAGAGAACAGACTGAACACTTCGTAACAGTTCTCAAAAGAAAAAAAAACGTATTCGATCAAATTTGAGGAGTTCAAAGGGAAGCTGCACTGACCAGGATACGGTATCCGACCATAAGTCACAATCTCGCTGAGCAGTATTCCAAAACTCCATACATCTGATTTGGTAGTGAATCGATTGAAGTTAGCCGCTTCTGGGGCAGTCCACTGAAATGTTTCGTTCCGATGGAAGTTAGATATGAATGATAAAAGCGAACAGTTCTGTGAATAATTCAGATGCATTACAATGAAAGTAGGAAATGAGTGCTAAATGCCATGGTATGAACAATGAGCCGCAGCAGTGGTGAGAGAGTGTGGTAAAAACATTGATAAAAATTGTAATGAAGGTAAAAGAAGAAAGAAGAGAAGGAAGCCGAAAAGATTGAGTTTGAGGTGCTCCGGTAATCTTTGGGAAAAATATAGGCACTTTAAGTGAAGATCGAAGCGTTACACCAATGCATCCCACCCTTGGAATCATGGAGCGTCCAGTCGCTGCGGAAAATTTTCCCGAAATGCGTTTGCACATCCTAACATTCTCCCCTAGTACGACCCTCCCTTACCCACCTTACCTACCGCCCTGCTGACCTTTCCAAACTTCCCCCAGTTTGCCATGAAATTTATGAATTTTCCCAGTTTCGCCCACAATCTTGCCACCGAGTTGGGGATGGGGGAGAAATGGCACAGTATGGCGACGGAGTGTGGGCAGTTCTGCTACTTCCCATCGACATATCGAGCCATCAAGTAGAGACCTGTGAAATCCGGTGAGATAATCAGATGATACCAGCCAAGCTTCGTAGAGACCACTGGCAATTCTTGTAAATAGTACCTGCCAGCTCTTTTATGCAATGAAATACTAGCAAATGCCTTTTACACAAAAACAAATGCCTTGATGGATCGACAGCTTTGCCCCCCCCCCCCCTCCCAGGCCGAACTGCGCCGCGAAGAGTATACAGTAGCACGTTGAAACGGCGAAAAGTTAATAAGCGGGAGCATTTTCTCAGGTTTTCCTCCCTACATCGATTAAAAAAGCCACTACTCGGGAATCCCCAGCGTACGACGTGCTCTGCTTGGACTTCTAGGAGGAAGTTAGTCAACCTTCGGGTAAATTCACTTATTAATGAAACATGTACAAAATAAAGAGGAAACTGAATAGAATACAGAGGGGAAATAGAATAGATATAGGCTTCCCAGAACAAAGCAATCACCACTTAAAAAAATCGGAAAAAGTAAAATTTAATACTTCGTGAATACTCTTAAGGCACAGTACAGGCTGATCATAGCGGCAGTTGAGCCTATCATTTAGTCTTCCTCATTTCGCTCCCTCCCCCTCCTCTCACTTCTTTGTGCTGTCTCAGAGGGACGAGGAAGAAAGGAAAGCGAAGGCAGAAAAGAAAAGCGCACTAAGGAGGCGGGCACAGTCGTAAGTCTGACTCCGCCCACACGATCAGCGTGGACTATGCTTCCAACAACTAGTTTTCTGACAAGTGTACCAGTAGAACAATCTCAACGACTACTCGCAACTTACACATCGCCTTCACTGAATCAAACCATTACTTCATCAGTCAGCATTTCATAACTATTCAATAGGTCGACCAACTCTCACCTTGATGGGAAATCGTGCTCCAACTCGTGCCTCATACTGATTCTCCTTATGAAGTAACCTTGCAAGGCCAAAATCGGCGATTTTCACATTCAAGTGGTTTTTTGTGAGTATATTACGAGCGGCCAAGTCTCGATGAATAAACTTCATCTCCTCCAAGTACGCCATTCCGGCTGCGACCTGTAAAGGATCTCGGTTGAATGTGACATTAATGTATTGACTTGTGAATAGCTAGAAGTAGGACTCAGTTGAAAGGCAATTTTCTGACGGAGTTCTTTTCGTTGGAACGCCGAGTGGAATGTGAAATGGTTCTGTGAATTGGAGTGGTTCTAAGGTACTTGAGGGTAACCACAAAGTGTGCAGAAGTTAGTATGGCAACCTCTTTTGCTCCCCTCAATGCCTTAACGAAATCTCATTTAGATGAGCCTCTGTGTTCACACGATCTTCTGTTCAATTCTCCGCCCACAGAGGCCAAACATTCAGTCTCGTAAGACGGGGCACAATGAGTAGGGCCGAAATCCATGGGAATGATGTTTGAACGCGTCTGTTTAGTACAAAAAGCATGTGAATGGTCCGAATAGACCGACATACATCAGACAGCGTGGGAATAACGCTAGAAAGAAGCGGACCTCGTGACAGCGTGGGATTTATGCTAGGGAGAAGATCCGAGACCTTCATAAATGAGGGCTTTGCAACACTTTAGCCATTTCAGACTTTCCACAGACTATAGCTCAGTAACAGATATCAAAGTGACAAAAAACTATCATTGATCCTCATTATATGTTACATAACTCTTCCATCTGCAGGTATAGGTACGGGTATCTGAATTCGTGAAGGTATCTGAATGCATCTCCAGCCTCTAGATTAACTGAGGATTCGTGTTACGGGCGTAGGTGGTATCGTGAGAAGTAGTGTGTGTTTACCACTGTTGCGTACGTGCTGCAGCCACAAGTGGCGTCACATACAGAGCGTACTGCCGGCAGGACAAAATCTGAAAAAGAACCAACTTCGCTTGGTGTTCCGGAGGTGGACACGGAGCGACAATGGTTCCTATCATGGAGTAACTGTCAGTCATCAAATCTTCCAATCTTCATGGGTCGGTTACTTGGTGAGATTTGGGAGGATAATCAGGCTTGAGCACCGACTGAACCTCGAGATTCATGGTCTAGGCCATATCGACATCAGAATGCACCCACGGTTCCTGAGAAGAAATGAAGTGGTGCCTCACTCCGAGAATGCTTTGGTTAATGCCTTATTATTCCACTGTTGTTACATTCTATATCTGGGAGCTGGGAGGGAGTGGCTGCGCATTTCAACCGAACACGGCGTTGAATGAGTTTTTCGCAGACTACTTTCTTTTCAGACACCTGCCATCCAGTCTGTGCTGGACAAAGAAACTATTACAGGTGTCCTAAAGCTGTGGGATCCTATCAGTCGCGCAGCTACGTTCAACCAGATATCATAGCCACGCCCTCCCTTCTCCAGGATACGAAGTCTACATTTGTTGATTAGTTGCGTGAATGTTTCATACAGTAAACCCACACTGTATAAGTATAAAATGTACACAGTGGTTATATACAGTCGCTGTAGCAGTAAGTAACAGCACAATATACACAGTGGTTTTACGCAGAGGTTTATTATAAGGGAGGAAAATAGAATGGATAAAAACAAATCGGCCATCTAGGGTCCGAAGAAAAGGTAATTGCTTATAAAACGAACCTGAGCGGCGATTTCCACAAGGTGTGTCAAGGTGCATTGTCGTCCTTTCCCTTGGAGAAAACTGAGCAAGTTTTCCTGCATCAATTCCGTTACTATTAAAATCGGCTGATCTTTCGTACAAACTGCATACAGAGTAAGTAGCTTGGGATGCCTGCAAAGAATCGTTCTCTTGTTCAATTCAAGTTCGTGGCTCTTTATACAATGATCAGTCTCTTTTGTTGTACTTTCCTCTCGATAATTAAGTGAATAGTCATGTCTTGTTTACGTTCTAGGTGTATTACTTATTGCATTCTTTATCTTCGTCGTATGATTTCTGCGCTAAACTCTATTTTGCAGGCGCTCCGGTGCTTATAGATGGTATATGTTATCAGCTCACAAAGTCGTGTGTTATGTGTCGGCGTTCTCGGGAGCTTATTGCGTTCAAGAGGGTTCATAAGATATGTGATTGTTGAACCTTATGTTATGCTAGGTGCTATGCGTATACTGCCGCTTGTATGCGTTTGGTGTGTCATGGTTCATTCTGGCATATTTCCGATACTGCTGTCGAACCATGCACTACAGCTTTTCAAAAATTGTAATCCACTTTATTCGAGTTTCCATTGGGCTTAATATGAACGGGCCCTTGCCTTTGAGGGGCATTTTGCTCAGAATGCATGTCCTATTAGAGCTTCTTCTCTTTGTTACGCACCTCTCTTCCCCATTCCTTCATCTTTGCCTTACTGTCTTCTTTCCACGTTTTTTGGAATCTGCTTTTCCCGTGAAAATTTCTCAGGTTTTTCTCCAAAGAAGTGCTGTCGACTAGAAGGAAGGGGAAAGGGGGGAGGGGTATACATAGCACAGTAGACAGGGGAAACGAGGTCTCTCCCTCCAGCCTCGATGGGGTTTCCCAGCATACGACGTGCAGTGACGAAAGCACTCTGAGCTTGCAATCAAATGTGGCTCGTGGCCAACGAGAGCATGAAGCGCTGAAAATGTGGCCATGGTGGAAATGCTGAGCTTCGCCTCATTATTAGCACAGCACCCGCAAAGTCGGCTCTCGTCGAGGAGCTTACGCCTATCGTTCGTTCGCTACAGAGAGGCGATCCTATTCGAACATTGTCGAAATGTGAGTTAGATCGAGGTCCCTGGGAGCTTATTATAAGGTTAGTTTGCATTTCTCCCACTATTGCCCCAGAACTTCACGAAAAAACGGTCGCATGACGCTAGGCAAGCCAGTCTTTCCTTATCTTGACAAGTTTTCTCACCTCAACTTTTTCATAATATGAGCCTCGGCGAGGAAATCAGCCGGATCGGCTGTACCCGATTTCAATTTCTTCACCGCTACCGGCACTGTATTGTTCCATCGTCCTTCCCATACCTGTAATAACCTTGATATAGAGGAGATGCTTGTGTGGATAGCATTGACCAGAGAGCAAATGGATCGGAAAAAGCGCGAAATTCGTCACCCTTCCTCTATGTTGACTTAAACCCTCATTCACGCCCTTTCAAGACGAGTCACCACTTTTCGTTTGCTTTTTGAGAAAAAGGATGAAGCATGAAGTCCATGGAATTGCTCAGCTCTGCACTGGAATACGGTGCTCACTCGCCTCCTTTTGTTTAGTTTCCATTTCGTCCCTCTGTTTTTATCTCGTAGCCTCAGCGCAGTGCGGAAAGCCAGTAGAACTGGTCTTCATCTTGAAAAGGCGGAAAAGGGCCCCAGGTGCTCTAGAGATATAGCTTGACACGCGTATGTGGACGTGAGCGTCTTTCTTATGCAGCATACTTCCTCAGAGGAGCAGGCCATGCCACTCAGGGGGATTAATTCAGAATGGGAATAAAAAGTACTCGAGCGGCTCTGACCATGTGGTCAGCCACTGCTCTACTGACGTTCAAAGGGCGTTTCAATCCTGGCAGACGTCTACGGTCTCCACATCAACGGCATTTGACAACATGCCCTCATTCCCAAGTCCAACAGTGCCGCAACGAGGTACAGTTGTTACCGTCGCAATTAGCCGGGATGGTGTCAGCACGGGCGAGATAATTTCGCTGTTGGCACCCTTTCCCACACCAATAGTGATCAGTTTGATCGATTCAGGAAGAAAACAACAAATGGCAAAACGCCGCAGCCTTGCCCTCCATCCGGCCCTCCCACCTCCCCGCCCCTTACGCTGACTGCGACGGTATCAGCTGCACATCGGAAGGCTCTGTAGGTCATTGTCTAGGCAAAACTGCATTCAACAAGCTGCAAGAATTATGAATGGAAGTGAAATGCATGGCGCATAACAAAATGTGGATTGCTAAATGCCAAAAGTTTTATCCTATTCTACAATAAGCTTTACCCGTTACTTCTACGAATAATACGGTTCCAATACTCGATCACTACCTTTTGTTACATTTGATTACTATGTTCTGATGACTATGTTATTCTACCAAAACTGGAGTATATGTACCACAAAGTTTACTTTTTGCGCGGGTCAAGTCCCTTCGTACTTGTGTATGAGGGGACGCGTCACCACAGTAGTGAACCATAGCATGAGTCACCTTATAATAGCTGTGATTCAGCACGTCCTCAACAACCTTGTCGAAGATGACAAGTGTGGCAAAGTGAAGTGCGCACAGTCTAGCGTCTTTTTCTAAAGCGTCAAGAGCACGGTCGATAACCAGGTCCACAAGTTTTCCATAAAACCATTTGACATATGCAATGGCGTATCCATGCGCGCAGAACCCCCTAATAATCCGGTCAATTTCCTGTACTTAAGCCATTGTTGTGCACGCATGCGTGCTCACGCAGATCGAACGGAATATAATTTAGCCTTGATGTCGCATTGATCCTCAAAGACAAAGGGCAACGCCTGTTGGACAACTAATCCGCCCGCAGTTGGGTTCCAATCCAGCATTAGCGACATATCGGATTTCTCTTCCGGTCTGTCCTAAGAACTCGTATAACTTAAGACGTTTCGTTGACTAGTGTGAACACAAAACGGGTGTTTTCATCACCTTAGGGCGGATTGCAGCAAAGTTCTACTCGTGGGAGTTACCTCCGGTAGCTCTACACCAGAACTGTAGCTGCTGTTCAGTGGGATTCTTAATTACACTCCTTATCCCTGAGACGAGGTAGGCGTGGCATTCGAGCATAGCATAGACAGAAACGGTTTGCTGGCATGCAGCTCAGGTCACTGGTCAACCGGACTCTCTCTCTTTCCTTTTTTCGCCACCTTCTTTTTCCTGTCTCCCTTTTCTGATCCCTCCTCCTTTAGCTTCCCCTTCAACTACTGGACTGGTAGATGCCTCGAGAAAATAGCCCTGGACCCTCGCAGCGGGAGCATGTTTGGTTGACAAGTGCCCCTTGTTAGCGCCACGTTCAGTTGAAGTGAGCAGCCACGCCTACCCCATCTCAGGGAATTTCAAGTATACCTAACGCAGCGTCAGCAAAAAAGATTAATTCCTCCTGAAAACTCGGGAAACCACGAGTTTCACAAGATTTCTCAGAAGCTCAACAGGAAATACAGTCTCATCCTGCACTTGATAGGGGCTGTCGGCAGGAAGGAGCGTGCACACTGTTTGAAGCCTTCTCAGCCTTTTCGTTGAAACGCGTATGCGACAAAAAGTGATAGAAAACGAGTAACACGAAGGATATAATACAGTAATGTCACTTCCTGGTTCAACGATTGGTGCAGTACGGGTGCTGACGACCGCGCCGCACGCAGCCGCACTGACATTGACTATCAAGTGCAAGGATGACGACTGTATGACATGTGAAGGACCGACAAACATTGATCAACAGATGGGAACTTCAAGCAAAGGCATCTTTTTCCATACCGCAGGAATCAGATATCCTTGTCATAGAATGCCAAATAATAATACACTTTGTCGCATCCATATTTATTTAGGGGTAAATCGCGAGCTGGTTTCCATGCTTCACGCGAGGATTGCTTCGTTCAAACGCAATTTCATCAGGATTAAAAACGTTCTGAAACCCCTCCATCCTTTCTCTTTCCAACAAGCTTCACGGTTTTTCTGAAGACCCACTAGTTCAGGAGATATTTTAGATGGGTTACCCTTGCGCTACCCCCTGGACCACCCGAAAAATTGACTCCTTATGTGCCATTGTGAGGATACACCTTTCAGTGTGCCTCCAAAATACATATTTCCCTTCAAATGAGTGGAAAGAGGAGCTCGGCTATCACTAAATAGGTTTTGACGTCCGTGAGCCGCGGTGCATTAGGCTCCTACGAGAGGTGGTGGAAAGTCCGTGTAAATTCCCTAATTGTCAACGTGCTTTTATCCATGCAAGCAGATGTTTGTTTAGGGTTTGTAAAGGACAACACGCACAAATCTGTTTTAGACGTATTATTTAGTATCTACGTACTTACGAGTTCATGGGCCTAATTTAAACTGACACTTATTGTATTATGTTATTATATTCCTGCATATATTGCCTTAATAATCTTTTATTATTTTATCCTAATTACATCCGGGTCTTCTGAATCTTTCCGTCCGTTCCATTACCCTTAGCAATGACACCTTTGTACTGTTTGATGCCTAGCGAGCCTACTTTTGCGATACTCCCCACGTCCCTTATTGCGATACTCCCCACGCAAGTACGAACCCATTCTTGGGGATTTCCCATGAAAAGAGGGCTGTTAAACGTAGCATTTAAAGCTGTAAACACTCATAATAAACTTCATTTTTTTTAAACATCTTGACTTCCATAGCTCCACTCCCACTATCAACTGAAATGTCGAAGCATTGCTCGGCTTGAGTGACCCTTGAGGATATACGATCCCCTCCCCTCCCAGCGGCCAAGACGAACCCCTATGGGTTTACGCCACCAACGATGCCTTGTACCCTGATCCAGCGCTTGTAACCTCCTGCTCCCTCCATATCCGTACTCCTCGGGATGCAGTCTTCCGTTGAACTGTTGGTATATGCTGGTACACTTTGTGCGAACGCTGACAGACGCTGTAGATCGATAATCGATTTTTTCTGGCTCACTCTTTACAGCTCAGTCCTCCTTCCCTTCTTAAACGCCTGGCTGGGTCTCTTCCCGTTTTCTCAATCAAAAAATAGAGAGAGATGTCCCACGGACTTCCTTATTGAATTCAGCAATACAGCGAACTTTTTGACGAAATTCGTCATCAATAGATAATTGACTCGAGTCAGAGACTTGCACTTGCACGCTTTGACAACTCGACTACCCTTCCTTCTTTTTTCGACAATTTTCCCTTTTTCGTAGTCCCGCTGCGATTTAAGGATTACAAAAGCGTCATGGATTATCAACTAAAGGAGTTATTAGTTGGCGACGCACTGCTATCTGCTTAGATTACCATAGCTGAAAAAAGCCAGAGGTCAATGGGCATGATTAGGGGACGTGGCTAGAAAGCGTGAGAATGTTCGGGTCCTGACGGGGTAGGGCACATTACCACGGTATGTGAAACGGGCTAATAGCAGGAAATCCCCCTCAAAAAAGACTCTCTCGGTACGACCTCCCTTCACAGTCTGCTGCATCAACTCCAGTACAACCTTATCCTAAACGAACTTTTCCCATAACTTTTCTCAACAGAAAGCCGGTGGGGGACTATCGATCATTTACCGGAGGTAGTACTTTTAGGAAAAATCCGTTAACACCAAACGATCCACCTACCCCCCCCCCCCTCCCCGATGGAATTCGCGCAATGATGTCTTGCTAAGACTAAGGCAGAGTCTCTTGCCATTGTGTCACGATTTTTATCATAGAAATTAGAGCCGTGACCAGAATAACTCTAACACGTATATGCGAAACCTCTCTGGGGGGGGAAACGTCGGGTTTTAAAAGGCCTTTGTGCTCTTTTCAGACTCTCATAGAGTAACCGCTTCCTCACTCTTGAATGCTAGTCATGGTTTTCACTGGCCAATAGTTCAGCAGTTTTCTAGGCATGTTACGTTACCACAAACTCTTCTGCGCCCCTGAACCCTTTAACTTCTACTTTTTTAGGTGTGCACGCCGACTCCGTAATGCCCCAACTCCGTAATTCTCATCCACCCTCTTACAGCACACTTGACGGAGGGCTATTTCCGAGGGCTATGTTGACGGGGACTTTTAGGATTAGCCAAATCATTCAATCACTTTCTCCACGTTGAGTGCTTCGGTCACAGCTCATAGTCGATAACAGGTTTCTCAGTAATGGGGACCGCTTTCTTATGATTATGAGGCATTACCAGTGAACACTTCCTGCTTTAATAGGCATTTAGACTTAACAAATTCAAGGTTCTAGAGCTTTCCGTGAAAATGTAACCCATAAGAAAGATCCCTTGAGAATGTTTACGCAGGTTATACGGGCAAATTCTCATTTGCCTGCTTCTCTCCTGTTTTGCCCTTCGTTCTCATGGCGTGGCGCGAGCCCGAATCTGTCGGAAAGCCCTCGATAAGATCTTTAAGCTTGGAATCCG